AAGGTATTGTTGTCTTGAGCTCCAATTTGAAAAGATGTTTTACCTGTGACTATTTTTCGTAAAATTACGGGGGTTTACAGATTGCCATTTTGGCCAATTTGGGACAATTAACGCGCGATATATTTCGCGCTATTAACGCGTAAGCGGAGAGTTAATCCCTCTTAGAAATCGTTCCAAATTGGTTGAAAGAAGCTTATTTGCCATAATTGATTTGTTTCAAGGAGCGAATATTATCCTTTTGTACTTAATATGGCGTGTGGGGTGATGATTTTCATAAAAAATTTCAAATTTTAGAAACTTTTTTCTTCATTTTGTTTTATTTCATTTAATTTTTTAATGTTTTTATTGCTCCATAAACCTTAATAGGCAGTCGGAACATTCAAGGCTTTGCCCTGATACGAGCAGTCTTGTTTGATTTGATGATTATTAGATTCATACTCCTCAAAACCTTTTGACTCTTTCGTTGGCTTTTACTTACAGTTGAGTGTAATTTATTAGATGTCGGCGTATCAAAATAGACTACACGTACAAAACTAGGTAATGGGTCATGCTTTTGGCTAACAAGTTCGATTACTTGGTTAAGCGATCCTACAAATACCAATGGAAAACCAAAAATTTAAAATTAACATGTTGATTTTCAGCAATTTGAATCAGCCGAAATGTATTGCTGCCCTGATCTTAAGTTTCAAAAACATTTTAAGGTGTTCAATTTTTGTAGAATTAGGGAGGTTCAATAATCGCTAATTTGGTCAATTTGGGATAATTACGCATTTTAACATTTCGTGCTATCAAAGCGTAAGCTAATAATAACACAAAACTGAGGCATGCAATTCGGTCAATTTTTGGTTTCGCTTTAATTTTTGGAAATTTTCGTCATTTTAAATCAATTTTTCTATTGACAAGGAAATTCAATCCAAACATTAAGCACTGTGTTTTGATACCAGCAATTTGCTTTGTCTTCGGTCAGTTTAAGTTTTTCTGAAAACTGGTTTTTCAGAATTTTCATAAGTTACAAATGAACGGAAAGCTTTTTTAAATCCGAGCTGAAATACCAGTTTTCACTATCTTTTAAAATGATTGAATAAATCTAGCTAAAAAACTGAAACTACTTTATTCCATAGAAAATGATAACATTTGAGTTTTTGACTTCTAAAATGATATCCTTTGAAATACTTTACAAGATAATATAAAGTACTCATGAAACAGCTTTCAATTACAGCAGTTTCAGATGGTTACATGAAAAGAGATCCCTTACCATAAGATCCCAAACGAGAAGAGCCCAGTCAATAAGATACCATTCCAAAAAAAAACCTCGTTCTAAAATTGCCCATGACATAAGATACCATAATAAAATAACAAAGAACCTGAGAATTGAAAATAAAGTGGCTAATCGATCAAAGCAACAACAAAGCGTCAGTTAAAATCAAAGAAACAGCAAAAATAATGCTGCAAAAAATTCGAACATAAATGACCTTGCCAATCACATGGCCTTAAAAGTGAAACTCAAACTTCAAAACAGTTTAGACTACAGTTGAACTTGAAAAGGGTTTCCAATTATTTAAAATCAACTTTGCCAAAAATGGCCCGATTTTTCAGACAACTCAAGTCGGTACAAAATTGAAATTAATTTTTTCAAAAACTTAAAGCTTTGAAATCATTTTGCTTACGAAACACTTGTCATTCTTTTTGACAAAAAAAAATGAATTCTCAAATTCGATCACTTTTTTTTTGCTAGACGCAATACTCAAAGGACCGTCAGGCCCATACCCCCAACCTAGCTTTCCGTAAAAAACGGCAATTACTCTGGGATCAAATTGCTAGAGACAGAATTTTTGAACCCCAGTCGTAGTATTGCGTTTCAGAGTTCTCCATGAGGGTGCAAGGAGACGTCTACAAAAAAGTTGATCAAACAAATTTAAATTTAGGAGAAATTAGTCAAAAACTAAAACAAAATTTAATGGGTTCAAAGGGCAAGAGAAAGGATATAGGAAAATATGTTGAAGTCTGTATATGAGCTAGTTATCTGCTGAATTTTTAAATTAAGATCACGGTACATTTTCCGGGATAAGTTGATAGTACCGCTGGATGCCTTCAAAATATTGAACTTTGGACTGTAGGAATCTTTTTGAATTTTTTCGAGAAACATATATAGTGAAGAATGGCTGCCTTAGAACAAAGCTGTTACACCCAGATGCCACCCTTCAACTGCCTATGCGGTTCGGGCTAGAACAGATCAACCTTTTGATAATGATTTCAAAAAAAAATAGGAAAAAGTGTTTTTCGGCCAATTAAATCGCCTTTGGTACGTTTTTTGGAAATAAGCTGTGAGGTCGTCTAATTTTTGGTGATCGTTTTTTGAAATTCTCAGTTTGGTTGCTACACTGCATGTTTCCTCAATTAGGTTTAACCCAATTTCCCTTTTTGACTCCGTCACAAAACTAAAGGCAGGAACCTGTTACGTGATTTTGCTTGGAATATTTTAAAAATAGAATAGTTGAAAAATACCTCAAAACTAATTTTTATTCAAGAAAACATGTAATCATCATTGTTTTTTCAAGCTTCGGTAAAACTTTATCTATTTCAGCCCGTTTGATGTCTAATTTTTATGTCCCAAATAAATTCAGTGGAGTGCTTGCAATATTCAATAAACTATCTTAATCTCAAACAGTTTAGCTCAAAACAGTTGTAATTGATTTTTTCAATCCACAGCCACATTTTATTGGGACAAAAAATGTTGAAATTTAGGTGTTCAATTTTCTCACCAATTTTTTCAAGAAAAAAAGTTCAGCAAAAAATTTTAAAAAACCAACTATAGCGAAATTAGACTTCTTCTCGAAGTATCAATTAGAATTTAATTGAGCTCGACTATAAATGGCTAGTTTATGCCCTTCTTTAGTTTTTTTACAAATCCTATTTTTCTGAATCAGCAGATCATTGAGCTCAAGCAGACTTTTTTAATATTTCTTTTTTTGCCATTGAAAAAAAGGGTTCTGTTTTCTGGTGTGCATCAAAGTTGTTTTTTTTTCGTAATTTCAATCTTATTCAAATACCACAGACAAAAACAGATGGCATTTGGTGACATAATCTTACAAAATCATTACCTTTGTCTTTTGATACGTTTTCTCAGAAATCAAAATTTTTTTCACCATTACGGAAAGCCGGACTGACCGTTTTGTCTTAGCCGATTTTATAATTGACAATTAAAGGAATGTATCAGAGCGCACGTATCAGAAATATACTCTTGGAAAAAATTTTCAAACAAAAAATTTAAGCGTTCATTTTTTTCTTTCATATTCACCCAAGTACCACAATATGAAAGGTTGTAAAAAAACTTTTTCTTCTGAAGTTTGCCAGGCACTGCGTCAAACAAAATACTTCTACAAAGATTGTCATTTTCAAGTAATTTATTCCAATTCAAAAAAAACTTTGACGACAACTAATCCAAAATTTTTTCACCCAGCAATCTCTAGTTGCGCTAAAAATTGCATTGTTCTAAAATTTCAATTTTTATGGTTTTGTTCTGTTTTTGTCATAGTTTTACTGCAGTTTTTTTGAAAAAATTTGACTTTTCTACCTATAATTTTTGAACGGAGTCTTCATATCATCTGAAAAGTATTGCTGTCCCGAGCTAAAATTTGAAAAGGTTTGTTACCTAAGGTTAAATTTTGTTAGCTTCCGGAGGTCTGAAAATCGTCAACTCACTTTAATTTGGACCATAAAAAATTTTGCGTTATAAAATTTGCGTTACTGATGCTTAAGCGGCTCAAAATTGACTTCACCAAATTGCTTCAGTAATACTAAATTTGCGGGACTGATGCTTATGCGGCTCAAAATTGACTTCACTGAATTGACTTATTCAAGCGTTACTAAAAACTAATCACCAATTTCACTTTCGAGCGTATAGAGAAAAGATATTGATAGAAATTCTGAAAAAAAATCTTTGAAAGAATTTCATCAAGTCTTATTATTCGAGATGATTTATCCAGAAAAGATTCCTCCTTAAAGGCGATTGAAAGTTTCAAAGCATAGCTCGGATACAAACAGACTTGTTTTGTTATCAAAAAAAGTTCAGAGGAACAGAAACAGAAAATGCAGACTAGCAAAACTGCAGACCTTGCAGTGCTGATTTACATTACCCGACAAAATGAGAAAAAAAGAACCTCAAAACGCGTTTTTCTCAAATTGTGTTGACTTTAGACAAAAAAAGATAAACGAAAAACTTGCCAAATTATTACGATGCAATTTCTTTGGCAATGTTCGGACCTGCATTTTTTGGAAAATTAGATCAATTTTTTTTCAGTCAGCCAAGTTTTACGCCAAAACTACCGTGTCAATTGCAGACATAGCTATTTCGAAAAAAAGTTTCTTCTGAGGCCAACTGAGTTTAATGGGTTGTAACCTGAACTTTGTGAAAATTTTTTAGTGTTTTATTTTGGAAGCCACAAAATATCAGTTTTCTATTTCGAATCAATTTTTAACAGATTATAGCCCTCTTAAATTTTGAACAACTTTTTTGGATATTATAGCCCTCTTAAATTTTGAACAATTTTTTGGATATTATAGCCCTCTTAAATTTTGAACAACTTTTTGGATATTATAGCACTCTTAAATTTTGAACAACTTTGAATATTATAGCCCCTTTAAATTTTAAACAACAACTTTTTTGGATATCATAGCCCTCTTAAATTTTGAACAACTTTGGATATTATAGCCCTCTTAAAATTTGTTGAGCTGCCATTTTTATTGTCTAAAAAAACTTTCCGTTTGTGAACAAATTTTTTGGCCCAATTTTTGCAAAAAAAATAGCACAACCTTATTTCTGTTATAATTCTAAGCAGCTCAGTTTTTCTCTAAAATTTATAAATTTTCAAAAGAACGCATTCTGAGTTCCAACCTTTGTACGTTTTGTCCAGAGCGCTGTATATACTGTTAGACGTGACACGAATAAACATTTGTAACAAGTTGTCACTTCACAAAGAAAGAAAAAAGTGAATTCTTACCAAAAATTCAATAAATAACAGCGACAAAAGGCGGATTTATTGTGTTTGCTTGAGTGAACTTCTTCCAACTTTTCCTGAATAATTCACCAGGAGTCTTAAGTGGTGAAATGGCGCAGACCTCTTCACCCATTCATGCCTCTGAAAGAAGGTTTGATTGATGTTTTTCTTTTATCTATGCAAAATATACAGCCAGGGGCGTTTCCAGCGTGTGGTAATTGAAGTATCGGGTATAAAATATCTCAATTTAGACGGTGTCATATCGACTGCTAAGTTGAACGCAGTTTTTTCACATTTCTGATATGCCGGCCGGATTAAACTGCCTGAAAGACTATTCTGGCTGTCTAATCAGTTTAGGGCTCAGATCAATCAACTTTAAATAGTTTTAAATTGAGCAAAGTAAATTGCCCGGAAATTTAAGTCACGGAATCTGCAGAAAGAAAATAAATTGAAAACCCTTCCTTTTATTGACTTTTATTTGATAGCACCATACCAAGCATTGTATAAAAGGCTACTTTAAAATTTCATGAGATTAAGTGTCGTCTGCAAAAAATGGGAGAAAAATTCTCCAAAAAATTGGGAGAACTTTATGTGAAAACCTGTCTGTTCTTTATTTAACTGGCTGATAAGTTCAGCTGTTTTATCGATGTTCTTCTATTTTAAACACCATCACCCCCCCCCCCTCCTCCCACACACACACACACATACACACACACACACGCACATACAACTCATAAATAAAACTGCCATCCAAAAGACAGCCATCCAAAAAAAAACGTTTAAACTCGATTTCTAGTCGAACTTACCGCTGGCTCTTTTTCTGCTTACATCATTGTAAGCTATTGATTTGTTTCTGCTTCGCGTGGGTAAAGAATATTTCGATCTTATTAAAAAATGTATCAAACAAAATCTTTTTATTGAGTTTGTTTATCCTTATATGCTTACCCTTGGTGAATTTTAATTAGGTAGGTTGGTCAGTTTTCACAAGTAGATATCATATGGGAGGTTTCTTACAACACTTAAAATTCTTTGGGTCAGACGAGAGATTAGGTCTGTCTGTGAGAAGGCTTGTCATAAGATGTCATGTCTGTTGCCATAAACAGGAGATGTTATCTCTTGCCAAAGTTTTTAACTGGCTTCTTCCTTCCCCGATTGATGAAAATCGAAATGGAAAAAAGTCTTTTTTTTTTGGCTTTGCGCACCTAAGTATAATGGATTATAGTTGATAATAACGGATTTTCATGATCAAAATCAGGCGCGGATCTAGGAATTTCTCGAGGGCAGGGGGCGGATTTTCAAAAAAGTTAGGAAAATTTTGTCGAACGTTTTTTGTTTTTTTTTCTTAGGTCGACCAAATTGGTTTTCTGAGCTCTCCCAAAACACTCTAAAGACCCTAATTTGACAAAATTTTCTGCGTCGCAGGCAAATTTTCAAAAAAAAGCCAAAAAGGCGTTTTCAGTCACTTTTTGAAACTTTTCGATCAAAAACTAGTATAGATTGCTCTCCCCCCTCAAAATTAGTATAGATTGGCACCAAAGGTGCCTTTAGAAAAATTTTAAGGTCAGTCAGCCAAAAATGGATATCTCAAAGTTGTACAGAGGGGGACCCTTTGGGTCGACAGGGGGTCGAATCCCTGAAGGGTGGGAGAAGCGTCCGCCCCCCCCCCCCCTAAATCCGCTACTGGTCAAAAAAACTATCCATTAAAATCGATTATGCTTGTAAAATTCAGACCGCGAAACAGATTGTGTAGTCATTATATTCGATTGTTTTTGAAAATTAAAAATCAATTATTATAAACTGTAATCCATAATGATTAATTAAAATGGGTTCCGCACTGAATTTTCACGAATAATACTCAATTTTAGTGGATTTTCATTGTCAGTCTCTATAAAATAACATAATAAATCGATAATAATTATAAGTAAAAAATTCCAATAAAACCGATTAAAATCAATTATAATCGAACATTTTAACTATTTTTCAAAACATTTCATCAAAAGAAAAATAATCAAATTTAATTGATTATAGTGGATTATAACCCATTTGTTTGAATCTTTTTGTGTGTTGTTTTCATTATTCATAATATTGTTAAGCTTAATTTAGTTATTCTTTCGCTAAATTTCATTTTTTCCTATTTTCAATTGCGTTGATGAAAATTTACAAAAAGCTACCTATAGATCCCACACCACATACTACAGTTACCTGTCCCGGTAGGGGTGTTTAGTGGGGGTCTGGTAAACATTAAATGCGCAGAAGGAGGGTGATGTGGTTAACGTGGGGGAGGGGGTTGCACGTGGGGGGTGGAATGATGGGGGGGGGGGGGTATGTGGGGGGAGGGTGTTCGTTCGAGTTTAGCTAAAAACTGCAAAAAAGATTAATTAGCTACAAATTTCAATCCATTTTCACGGAATTTATGAAAGAAAAGTAATCTTTTTTATTGAAAACAAAAAATGAATTACAATCGAAAATAAAAATCCATTTTAATGGCATTTTACTTTTTGAAATTAATCGATTAAAATGATTTAAAAGTTGATTAAAAAGAAAACAATTTTATCCACAAATATCCATTATAATCTACTGTCTAATATATACAATTCTTGAGTGTGAGCGCACCCTGAAAAAAAACACAATTATTTCAAAAAAAGCTTTTCAAAACTCAATTTTCGGCTTATTTTTTTTAAATTCAGGTGCAGAAATCTTGGCGAAAATAAAGTTTTTCTAGTGTTTTAGTCAAATTGGATGGCTTCAAAAATGTCTGAAAAAGTTTTGAAATGTTTTTGATTATCAAATCCTCCACCCCTATCGAGATAATCCTAAATCTGCACCTGTATGACCAATAACTATCCGTGAGCGGGTTCTGCCTCCACAATTTGGCAAAACTCATACATGGAAAACTTATGTTTAAAATTTTTCAAAGCATATTCAGAATATGCTTTGGTTGCAAAGATTTTTCAACTCCAAAGTCACATATTACTTCTTTTCTATTCAAAATAATTCAAAAATTATGACCTGGAAAAAAGTTGTGAATATATATTTTTCATTAATTCGAATATACTGATAGTTGAACAAAGTCGAGCGAAGCAGAGCAGGGCCCGGGGAAAGTCGAGCAAACTCAAATTCAAAAATGTCCGGGAAAGTTGAATGAAATCAAATGGCCTCCAGGAATGCCAAACCAGGTCCGCAAAAACTGAGCAGAAATTAAAATCAAATCACTGTTTGACCAGAAAACGATTGAAAAAGCTCTCCCTCTCTCTTCTCACTCTCTCCCTTTCTCTTCTCTCTTTCTCTCTCTCTCTCTCTCTCTCTCTCGCTTTCTCTCTCTCTCACTCAATCAACTCATATCAGATACTCAAGGTTTGTTAAGGCTTACTGTCCACCACACTTCTTTACAGTCGAGCTCTCTTAGTTCTCTTGTCTATCATTTATCTATTTTATTTTGTTTTTTGATAGCTAGCCCGGGATAATAAAACCTTAATTGTGGATTTTATTGAACTATTTTGACTATAAGAACTGTTTTTCTAAAATAAACTTTGTAACTTCAAACACAGCCCAGTATAATGAACACTCGAACACCGTAATATTGCGCTAACTTACCAACTACTTTCGGTTTGTATTATAACTTTTAGTTTTTGTTCACTTTTTTGTTTTAGTTTTTATTTTTATCTTGATACAAAAGTTTTTTTTAAACGCTAATTGGGGGGATGATGTTCAAGATTGAAACTAAAATGAAAGCATATCAAGACCAGCTAGCCTAGCGGAAACGTACTTGACCTGAAACCGAAAGGTCGCCGGTTCGAATCCCGGTCATTCCAAGTATTTTACTAATAAAAAACTTGGAATACACTTGATTTGAACCGGATAAAAAATGTTCCTAAGTCAAACTTGTTTTTAAATGATATTCTGGACATGAACTTAATTAGACTTTGGCCAGAATTGACTTCTAACTTCTGGCAAGCGTGAAAATCCCCACTTATTGGCAAAAGTAGTGACAATAAAGTCGCTTTCGATTTCGATTTTGTTTAAAACTTGATAATTTTGTTCCGAAACAGATATTATTCCGTTGTTTCCTCTTAATGATTTTCGATAATTATTGAAGGAAAAATATATATATATATATTGAAAAATCGTGTTCTCAATCGAGATACATACAGCCAATCTACAGACCGACGATATTCTCGACCGACCCACCAGAGACCGAACACAGGTGGAAACATGGTCCGACGACAATTGACGACAAACCAGACGAAACCCTTGAAGACTCAGTTTTTTGTGAGTGAGAAGTACCTCAGTGAAAGGTGATTGTGCAATTTCACGAAGTTGTATGCAGACAGCTACCTAGAAGTGAGACAGGAATCTCCCCAACCGTTTTTGATGGCCGAAGTTGACAAAAAAAAACAATTGTAAGACGTAACTTTTCAGTTTAGTTTCTTCATAAACCACAGCTATAATTGTTTTACGATCCTTTAAAGTTTTTTATTGTGACCCATCAAATCCATTCAGTGTGCTAAAACGTTGATTTCATTATGTTTACCGTGCTTTTGCCAATAGTCTAACCCGAATACCCCACCCAGAAAAATCAAAATCCAAAAAAAAAATCGAAAATTGAAAAAATTTGATAAAATTTAAAATTTTGGTTTCATTTGCTAGTTTATAGTTAGTAGTCGATAACTCAAACCCGAACCCACCGTTCCGACCCGTTAGAAAAAAAAATTTGTGAAAATATTTGAGAAAATTTTCGCAAAAAATTGAAAAAACCGAAATCGACCCCAAATCGTCTAATTTCGGTACCAAACTGACGTAGACGATAAGAAGAAAAAAAAATTTTCCAAAAAAAAAAAAAATTGTCATTTTTTTTGTGAAAAAAAAAACAGCACGACAAACGTAAGCACCGCAAAATTACGCAGTGTACAGACCCGTTAGCACTATATCAAGTCAATCCCTTTGAGTTTTTGCAACTCCGGTTGTTTCTGAGCAGGTTTGATATTCTCAAAATCCGGTTGACTTGATCCTCCCAGATTTTTTTTATCGTGCCGAATGCCGTCGTAAATGTATATATTAGCCGCTAGCTCGCTCTCTCGTGCTCATAAAACGCTACGTATAGCCGAGCAAAACCGTTTATCGCAATACTGTTATGCCC